CTCATTTGAGTTTGATCTACTAGCGTATATATATATATATATTTAATTATTATTATTATAATAAATATATTTATATTTATATTAAATTTTTTTCTTAATATAATATTATTAAATTTATATTAATATAGTAAAAAATTATGTGAGACTTGAGTTGAATAATTCATAAATCTAACATGGTTGAAAATAATTAAAAAAAATTAGAACATGCCTTGAATTTGGGACATATTTAAGCTTACTCTTTATAGTTTTGAGTTGGATTCGAGTCTAGTAAGATCGTCGTAACGAGCTATGTTATTGTTCTTAATATCAATGATAGTATAATTTTGTAATTTGTTATCTTTTAATGTATGTAACATTATTTATTTATTTTTATAAAAAATACTTTTTTCGGACTTGTAATAATTAATATATATATTATATAATACTATTTAATAATAAAATTTTCAATAATTAAAAAAGATAGATTGGATTGTTATATTATCGATCACTAGTTATGTGTATAAATGATCAATACAATTATATTAACTAATAGTTAGAATATACCCTTGGGATGATCATACCTTTATGTATGTTTGACATATGGTATGAGTTTATTCGTAACATATTATAAAGAATATACACTATGCCTACCGGCTACCGGCTACCGGCATGTGTTAGAAAAAAAAAAAGAAGGAAATTACTGTGTCTTCGTGTTACAGGCTACCGGCTACCGGCAACACCAACTCCATCTTCGTCGTTCCGACTGCGTACAGATGAAGAAAATCCAAATCCAATTTTCTTCTTCATTTCCTTTTATTCTTAACTCGTTTTATTAATTTCTTTTCCTATTATACTTAATTTTACGCGCATACACCTCCTTCAAAACTCACCACATCGTCGCCCTTTTCATCCCCTCATCTTCTGTCCAAGCAATCTACACGCGGTTGCATCTCAGAATCCGTGCTCGAACTCAACTGGAGAGACGTCAACGATGTCTAAACCGGGACAAACAGTGATCGGAGTTCCCTACTATGTCGGCCAGAATCCATATCAAGCCGGAATGATCCCACCCAACGCCATCTATGGCGATCCCATGACCATTCCTATCCAACAAACGATCTTTCGCGACACTCCTGCTCCCTTTTCCTGCCCTTACTGCGGTAACTCCGGTCTTACCACTGTCAGGTATTTTCAATCATTCAAGTCTTGGATTTCTATTCGCTTTGTATGTGATTTT